CAATTAACATGTACTAAACCTGAGAACATATACCAATACAGCTTATTAAAACAAAGTGACAGATTTACAATTATGCAGCAGAAAACTACCAGAAAACCCTTTGTCCTTACCACTTTCAAGGAAGGTGGGCAATAGACTGTTCAGTTATTTATCCAAGGCAAGGTTATTTATTAAAGATGTTAAAATCCTTCAAATTTTAAGATATACACATGTAAGATTCCCGTTTTACACAGGCTACATTTCGTAATTTTCTTCTGACTCACAGATTTTATCTTACGTATCTTAGAAGCGTAGCTGAGGCTTTTCATGTGACAAATATAAAGAAAATTTTCATATTTGAAAAATGTGTTGGTTTCTTTACTAGACAATAAGATTGACTTAAGGTTATTCCTTTAGGGAATTTAGTTAATATTCTAAATCCTATTTGCTAACAGAAGCTGGAAGTTAATTGAATATTCTCATTTTATCTGGAGTTCTGACAGATCTTATACCTCAATGTATTCTTCAAAGAGCAGATAACTCAATCTTCTATTGTCATCTTAGGTTACTGCATGATGCTCTGATAAATATCAAATGTTATTTATTGTTGAGGCAATATGAAACTTCATTCTGACATACCCTTAATTGTAAATGTGATTTTATCTAAGTTCAAAATATCCAGTATATGCTTGGTAATAAAGTTGTTGCAATCCCATATGACAAGTGTCTGCTGCCTGGCCTGACAAATTGAAGTAAAGGTTATATGTAGTCAAAATGACAACAGATATCTCTCTGTCTCATACTTTTCAGCTAGGTCAAGGAGCACAAGAACTAGTACATCAAAGTGTACATTTGAGAGAGCTGTTTCAACGAGATAAAAACCTCATCAAAACTAAGATTACCGGATCCTATTTCTAGCCACCAGGTGCTTGTTGACATTTTCTGACAGATGAATAAATTGATACAGCTATTTATTATCATCAAGACTACTAAGTCAGTCTATCTTAATCCTAATGTTAGGTCACCAGAGCTTTAAACTACGTACAAGTATGTGTGTGTGTATGTGTGCATATTTATTTATATCTAAATGTGTTCAAACACAAGCAATTCTAGAAATGACAACAATAATTTGCAATTTGTATAAGTAAGTAATGTATTTTGAATTGTATACTACAACGCTTATTGACGAAAAACAATTAAATGTTCACTGCTTTTAGGAGTAAGAATTATGCACATTAAAAGGTTCTTGGATCCAGCTACAGGGTTACTTTTTGTGATACTTAAAAGATATAGATATTTAAAATATAATCTCACTGTCAGTATTTAAAGATTCTTAACAAGTAACAAAGACATATAATATCACATTTTAATACAAGTTTTAGTAAGCAAATGTCCTAAAAAGCTCAAAAATCCAAAATGTTCTGCCACAATTATCCTAAAAATGTTTTTTTTCAAAAACGAAGCATCTGTATCTCTTATTATTCAAAAAGTACCTGGAGAGTACTAACTACATTTTTTTTTTTCTAAATTCATATATGCTGTTGCTAAAATCCAGCAAAATAATTGCTAATGTGATTTGCATTGCTATTTGCAACAAATCAGAAAAGCTCTTTGGGAAGCTAAAGGGTCTGCCCCATCAGTGTAGCCGACATTCTGATTAAGGCATTTCTTCAAGCTGTAAATGTTTTCATGAATTTCAGTGAGGAGACGAGAAATTAAACCAGTTCCCTGCGTTTGACATTTACCAAAGCTTTTAAAAACTAGTTTTGAAATGCCTTCAATGTAATTTTTTTTTCCTGGAAAAAAAAAACTTTATTGTATGGAGTTACAGTCTAGGTGACAACTGAGTGAAAACAGAAAAGCGGGACTACACAACTCGCAGGCTTACCTCAAACTCAGCGTGCTTGTGGACATCCTCAGCTCTTTGCCGGTTCAAAATAAATTCTGCTTCATTTGCAACACGCACTATATGGTCTTTCATTGCATGGCATAATAATCTGAAATAAGAAAAATCAAAATTCACCTTTATATTTTACTTTCTTCAAATAAATTATTTCAGTAAATGTCCTTAAAATGGAAAATAAAGAAAAATCAGGAAACTAATAATATTGTCAAATTAGTAGAAAAATATAATTTGTCCAAAATTGTATGAATTTGAAATAACACAAACAAAGCAGATTATACTGAAAAAAAAAAAGCTGTTTCTTATTGAAGGGGAATGTTTGTTATGGAAGTACTGTAGTCCAGTAGGTTTTAAAAGCAGTCTCAGTAGGAGACCCATAAATATTCAAAAATCATGAGACTACCCAAGATAAAAAAAAATCTATTAAATTTGCAAAATAATATAAATATATTTTATATGTTTTTAAATGCTAGCGTGGAAGAAGTGTACCATGCGTTCAAGTTGTTGCACCACTGGAAACAGAATCTTACTTAAGAGAAATAGGAAAATAAAGTTGGATTGAGAATTTCAGACACGTTAAATGAAGACTCTTGGAAAAACAGATCTCCAGATACTGTGAGATGCATAATAAAATTGTAGGGGGGGGAAAAAAAAAAAAGCAACACAGTTTTTAACAACACTGGTGCCTTACTGGGCAGGAAGAAGGGCCCAGCTGCCTGCTTGATGGCCCCTACACTCCATATCCAAGGTAGCCCAGTCTTTTCACACCTGGTTTGCTGTCCTTATCTGCAGGGAGGTAATGCTCTCTCTGAGGATGCAGGGATCTGCCAGGCCTGCCTTCAGGATCAGGAAGAAGCACTGCTTTGCTTTGTGCCAAACTGGCACAGCCTGGGACTTTCCTTCTTGCAGCATCAGGGAAACACACTGCATTTCAGACATTCTCTTATTAAGAATGTGAAATTACTAGCAAATCCCAGCCTGACGCTGGTGTCTGTTGCTTAGGAGCCCCAGATCTTGGAGGGAATGGAAGCTATGATTTCTGGACCTTACACAGTAAGAGAGGAAAGACTTGTACTGTTTTCTAACCTCCCTTCCTTGGCGCATTCTACTATCTGTGAAAAAAGGAAATCACTTACCCTGTGCTAATGTTTAATATGGAAAAATGTGGCTTAGGAGGGCACAGTTTTGGGGGTCTCTGTTTAGACATAAAGAGTAAAAAATCTGCATCACAGTGCATATTCATGAGTAAGTCTTTTCCGATCTAACACTTCACTACTGTTCTTGAAAATTAAGATTTTTGGGGAAACTTCACAGGATTAAAGATTAAAAGTCTCCTCCATGGTACTCTTCAAAATTTACGTATTTACTTTTATCTATTCTGCTGGAGAATATGCTTTAGTATTTCATTACTGGTAAGTGTTCAGAATTTTGTTGTTAAGAGGCAAGCAGAGAACTGCATTAAGATACAGATTTGCAGTGAGCATTCATGATTTTAACACGCTTCTCTGAAATAAGAAAATACTGAAAGTGAGTGTCTAATATCTGCAATAAAATTTTACATCTTCTTGATTTTTTCCATATATTTTGTTTCCTGATGTTCCTGATGACCAGGAATCAAATAGGATTTCAAAACTATGCACACAGATAGATTTCAAGTGTCTAATAACTGGACTCTCTCCTGGAATAACTATGTTAGTAAATAAATGAAACACAGGGCAAATTCAGTATCTCTAAGTCTGCTTTTGCCCAAGAGGGCTTTTCAGTTCAGAATCATTTCAAGTGAAATAAAAAGGTTTCTTTAGCTGCTCTCCACCACCAAAAATTTGCTGAGAAAAGATCCAGACTATCTTGGATTCCTTGGGATTATGAGCTGGAACTCTTGTGCATAGCTTTTAAACCCCAGTAAAAGCATCTAAACTGTGCTGGTCTATTAGCTGGTCCCCAAACAGGCGAAGGAAAATACAGACCATCTCCATCTTAGTTGCCCTTATTTGCAATAAGAAGTTTTCTTCACATTCGCAGAGTGCCCATTTACACCTTAAAACACCTACAGGGCACTTCAAATGGATTGCTAGGGAATGCTGATTTCCACAAGCCATAAATCAATTGCTTGCCAATAGTCAGGGAGAAGATTAAAAAAAAAAAAAATCTGACAACGCTAGTCCCTGGCTGCTTTACAGAGAATGGGAACGTTTATAGACAGGCAGCAGATGATTCAAATCAGATGGCTGAAACTGCTGGTAACCCCAGGCGCCTCTCCCACCCCTCTGATGGACCTTGCTGTTCAGACACTGGGAAGCCTGATCCAGCCCTGACACAATTTGGGAGTTGCTGTAGCTTTCATATAACACATTAAGCAAACTGAGAGAGATTATAGGAAACCTTGAAATGTTGCAAGGCCTCAGGAACCACCATTCCAAAGTCAAGGAAATGATAAATGACAGGGGACCAGAGCCCATGCCCAAGCACTCAAGCCTGTGTCATCATCATCCCAAAATCTTCATTTTCTCCTTGTTCACCCTTTCGGACTGCTCTGATTCCCATCCTGAAACATCTGGGCCTGGGTCTGGAGACACTCCAAGGTGCTCATAAAGGAGGTATGTACATTCACGTCCGTGATAGAGAACCACACGAACAGGTGAAATAATATGCTTTTGCTTCTGGAAGGCTATTTAGAATTATACTAGTTTTAAGAACCATTGGCAGAAAGATAAACTTTAAACCAAGAGGTTTATTTAAAACTTAAGCCACCACTTACAGATCTTGCCTGTACACAAAGCAAGCCTTGGATGTTTTCATTTGGGAATATAAGAATGTGGGGCAGAAAAAAGTGAAACATAAGACATTAAAGCATTAAATGTGTCCTCTTAGCCTTGAAAGGAAAGGCAGCTACTGCAAGGTCAGTAAAGCTATTTTCTTCAGAGGTTTTTGGAAAGGAACTTGCCTACAAGTTTTCAAATTTAATAATTCGACTTAAAAATATAATTCTTTGCCCCTGACTTTTGCTTCTAACAGGAAGTTATTCAGTAGTCTCAAAATACATTTCTACAAGCAAAAACAGCTAATGTTATCATTATTACTGTTATATATGGATTAAATCATAACCAGGTAACTCTGACTGAATCTTGAAATCACAGCGTAACTGAGCATGTTGTCCTAACTGGGCTACACTTGAGAACATGTCCAGGAAGATCACTGTTATTTGAATATACTCCTACTTCTCTAAATCCTTATCACATAAATTGCACAATATTAAAATAAAATAATTAACAACAACAAAAAAAAACCCAAACTGCAGACTTTTCTGGCCTTAAAACAAGTGCTTACAACTACCGTGTGGATTCTAGTAGGAAAAATAATGACAATGATTCAAAAAAGAAGGCAAACCAGGAAAATCTCATACTCAGTAGCATCAAAGGCTGCCAAAATATCCAAAGAATCTGTTTTCATGCACTGCAAGTAAGAGACAGGAATAAAGAAGACTTCTAGGTCATAAATTTCACTCCTTCACTACAACACACATGTCACACAAACTCTTTCAGAAGCTATCCTCAGTTTATGAAAAGTATGAAATTTAGCAAATGAAATAAATCTTCAGTTTATAAAAATGTGATGGGGATTCCAGCCTCCAGCACATCTTTGCAAGGTCACTCCAAAATCTTTGACAGCTAAAAACCTTCTTATACTTTCCAATTCAAATGAATCTTTCAGTAGTCTTTACTGTTTCATTTTTATGGCAATGGTACCCTTAGGCTTATAATTCTTATTCCTTCTGTTGACCTTCTAATATTCCATCTCGACCCCCATTTTACCAGGCTAAATAAACCAGACTATATGTATGCCAGACTAATTAGGAAAAACATTGCCTTGTGGGTCTTTACTCAGGTCATACATAGTTTGAATTCACCTTGAATTCATTTACTGAATGTGCACAGCTAAAAATGTCAGTGGCTAAAAATTCTAGTCAAGTTCTCACCAGTATTTACATCATAGCAGTGATGCATCTTATCTCCAGGGAAATGCCTTTTCTGAATCAATTCTAGAACAGTCTTTTCCTTTTGGGCAGTCCGATAGTCTGTGAGTCTATCCACAAACCTGCTAACAGTGGCCTGAGGATTTAATATGCTCAGGAGTTTCCTTCTAGCACAAATTGTCAAGCACATGAATGCTATTTACATTATACAACATTTACATAACCTATTACATTATATTGTATTTACATGTCTGGCACCCACCCTATTTATGTTGGTTACTATTGCACTCATCTGCCCAACTGTGTGTTCCATCAACAGGCTTTTCAGAACACTCCCTTTTGAGGAAAAGTCTGCAGCACCCATATCTCTGCATTTGTACTGCAGAGAGCCAATTCGGCTAAGATGACGCTTGCATAAAAATGCACATATACTGGCTAAACAGGGACAAGATCTGAAGATCCAAAATTTGAGAGGAGCATCATGTTTACTCTCCTTTAGAAATAACACAGGCAGTCCTTATCACTGACAACTGAACATTTCTTATGACTAAAATATACCCCCTGTTCTCACTCACCTTTGTAAATCCTCATCCTGCCTTAGCACGATTGCCCTCAAAAGACCTAGCAGATGGACAGATGTTGAGACAATGACAAATCTGGCCTTTTGGTCAGGCTTATTAATCTCCACGCAAGTTGCACTCCTGCAGGGCTAGGGAGTTTTCTGAGAAGTGTCACCACAGGCTTGCTAGAAATTTTAGACTCTTTTCTAGTCATTTGTGATTGACCAAAAAGAGACAACGCGTTGGTCTAGGAAGGCTTTTGGCTAGACCATATGTGACAATTCCTGTTGCTTCACCACTCGCTCAAACTCCTGGAAGCCAGAACTGGAAGCCAGGTATGACCTTCCGCAGCTGAGCTGATTTCAATCAGCTGATGCAGAGTTTGGCTGATCATCAGAAAAACTCTTATCTCATTGAGCTGCAATCTTACAAATTATGATTTCTCTCTACAAGACAGACTCAATTTCTACTAAATGCCCACAAATTTGTGAGCCACAGTTAAAGCTCCCTTAAGAAACAGAATTGACGTTTTTAATCAAAGTACTTTTGAAGTAAGGAATC